GGAGACAACAGGGAGTGAATCAGTGGCGTGTCCCCGTTGTTGTCGGCCTCGTTCACTTCCATCCCTTTCTCGTCGACAAGGTACGTGATCACTTCGGTGAGCCCGGCGGCGGCGGCTTGGTGGAGAGCGTTGATGCCAAACTCAGAAGACTCAAGCCGTGCGCCGCGCCGAAGGAGAACCATGGACGTCCTGGCGTCTCCGCCGAGAAGAGATAGGAAGACGGGAGTACGTAATCGGCAGTCCGGGACCCCATCGATATCGGCACCGTGATCAAGGAGAAACGACACAATGTCATCATAGCCTTTGGAAGCGGCCAGATACAGGGCCGTAACGAGGAAAGGGCTATATCGATGGCTCTCGGTCATATACATGGTTGCTGGTTTTTTGTAGTCAGCGCCGGCTTGGAAGGTATGCCGGAGCGTGGCGAGGGCCACCCGCGTATCTGTACAGTTGGCAATGGTGTTGAAAACGGCATAGTACTTTCCCGTTTTCACATCATTTCGGTAAAGCTTGGGGTTGAAGAACGAATGCCAAGTGCGCGAGCATCGCGTGAACCCGGACTGGACATGGGGTTCGCTGTGATTGAAGATATGCCACGCCACGTCTAGGGAGATCGGCTCTGGATGAGTAGACTTCATAGCGAGTGGCGTCTGTCGTACTTCGCGAGACGACGTGAGCTGCGACAAAGGCACCGCATAGCAAGAACACGAGGCAGTCACGCAGTTATCGTAGGCTCGCCGGTCTCATATCCAATACAAGATGTTAGACTTCGTCCCAAGTGACAGCGCTTTACGTCAAAAACATCTCATACATACACTGCAGAGCCGGAGTTGACCGTCTCACTCAAGAAACGTCTTGAGTTCTGCTATACAGGCGCTAAGGTGCGTCTTTTGGTTATGAAAAAGCCATCTCGTTCATCCTCTAGGTGGACAGTAGTGTTCTTCGCGAACGGTCTCTGGTTTTCTGGGCATAAGCTGAAGACAGCTTCAGGATTACAAACTATTTGACAAGATTCTACTGGTTCCGCTTTGGGTGGACGAGGACATCAAGCGCACAAGTGGTGTTCACGTCGGCTTTGAACGCTTAGTCCCCACAATACCGACGGAGCCCAAATGGGCCTTCACCATACAGTGTTGTACACATGTTGCTCCGTCTCTCGCAAACATTCCCAATGTTTGAAAAGCCGAAAACTGGCATGATGGGCCTCCGCAGACCTCTGGTAATGGCTATAGCGACTGATTTGCAAACAAAAGTGTGGGTCAGGATAGTAAACGACAGTGCGAATGGCAGCGCGTGATCAAGAGCTCCTCGAAAGTATCCATAATCGGCTTCCACAGTAGCCATATTCTCCTGATACAGATTATGATGGTTTGCAAACAGGAAAGATATTGAGCCCAGACTGTGTGGGTCAAGTCCAGACAAATAAAATGTGTTGTAAAGAGGAAACAACATAGTGTATGTATGATTGACGCTGCAATTATCTAGTGTCCGGAAATTGTTTTTTGGGGACACGCCTGACTTTCTGCTACAGGAACCTCCAGCAAGCAACAGCACGCTTGCACGCACCATCACATCGTTTCTGCGGAGTTCACACCGGGCTCTTTCCAACAACCCGTGTTGACGCCTGTGAGCCGGAATTATGCATTCTCAGAAACGTGATCAAGGGCCTTTGTATGTACCGAGAGGCCTTCCTCTTGTGCATTCAGTTTCCAACTCCTACCCACATACCTAGAGGTCGAGATCCAGGAATCAAGCTGGAAAGGTACTGCCACTTTCTTGTTGCAGGTCGTTTCTGGCGTCAGAACAAGGATCTCGCTTGCCGACTAGCCCATCTATGGCATCCGCTTTTGGCTCTCACCAGACGTCGGTTCTAGCTATGCTCCCTTGCCACACACCGTTGATGTTACTGGACACCCTGTGTTCCAAGTTGCTTATGACTCAAAATGTGCGCCGTATCCCACGTTGGAACTGGAGTTGTCCCCAGCCACACGACGAGGATCCTGCTTCCTTGATACCCTCTCTGTAAGATCTAGATCTGGCCTTTTGTGACCCGAACAGGGCTTCTCCATATATGTACACCCTGTCTATACGAATCATCAGGTATTGCTGGGAAACCCTTTGCGGCTAGTCTGCCTAGAAACGCAACCAAGACCTCTTCATCATTTAGGTTGAAAGATGATGCTCATCTGACACGCTCGACAGGGGTTTTTCCTTTTTGAGTAATGAGATGCAGCTCCTACAGCACGTTCATTCGCCTGTCGCTTGTGGTGAGTAGAAAGCAGTATGTACACACTTGTGACGTGTAGGTCTCAAACATGCCGCAGTCAACATTTGTTGCAAAGGGTCCGTCTACACGCATCATGGGTTCAAAGCTTCATTCAGTATTCTCACCTTTGAGAATCGCCTCATCAAGTGAAACGCCTCACGGACAGAGGCTTCCACAAGAACGTGTGTCGACCTTCCTCCTCTGCGACTCCGACGAGGAGAGCGACAGCATCAAGAAGGAAAAAGGACTTGTACAAGGCGATTCGCATCAGGGAACAAGCTTTCTGACTAGCATAGCGTCTCCTGATATCGCGGCTGGTATCAAGACCGTCTGCTCTGCAGCGGCTCGACATCCAACCAAGAATAGCGAGACAATGTCTTCGTATAGAGTGACACACGTCTACGGGAAAGCCTCCACAGAACGCTCGCTCCATCTCAGGACAGCCAGCCGCGATGGCGCGATTATCACTAATTCTTTCAACTGGAACTCGAATGATCCTTACGCGAGGTCTGCCGAGTGCGGTATCCCTAGGGCAGACTCACCAACCATATGAGGGTATCGTGGTTGCTGTAGTTGTATCGCCAGATCTCCTTATGATAGACACGCATCGAGGCGCGCCATGAAGAGTAAGACAAAAGCAAGTGGTTGGCGGAAGGCTGTTCTATGGGCCCGTATATGAGAATGCAAACTTCTTGTGAGGATCGCAGACTCGTCAACGTGTGAATTTTGACATTCTCGACTTCATGCACGACTGTGGTGATAAAGGAAGTTATTTATAAATCGTTGAATCCTGTCTGGCTTCTCGAAGGCTCATAGCCTGGTCCGCCAGGCTCATGATGCATCACATACACACCGATTTAGAACTCATCCGTACGACCCGTGGTGGATATATAAATGATAGGGTATTAGATTTCCTAGCTAGTCAATTTGTATGTGTGCCAGCACGAGCTTATACGTCATCTTCTGTGCCTTCCGCTCATCTTTTCTAGTCTCGGGCTGTCGCCATGCGATGCATTGTTTGATTGTATCTTTGAATTGTACGACACAGTACAGCACATAATGCACATATGCTGCCTAGATAAGTTCTTCCTTTTCAAAATGGCCGGTGCAAACACCATGAGTGCGGATATATGAGCTTGGTTAGGCAATGTCAGCAGCCGTGTAACTCACATCGGACGGCAAAAAGTCCGAGTTATGCCTCTTCCGCTTTCGTCGACGGCTCCAATCAAAGTCCCTCTCGCTTCCAAATGATGGCGAGCTTCTTCGCGCCGTATGGTCAGAAACGAAAAGCTCATCATTGTGGTGCTTCAAGTGGACTCTTTTGTCTACACTCTGTCCGTTCAGCAACAAAGTACGTATAGTTGTCTGGCACATGCAGTTGGTCCTAGATCAATGGGTATGGTTTCCTGTTCTACCTCTCGGATGGCTGTCGAATCCCGTCATTCGGGCTACCCGCGTCCAAACTTACGTGCCAATATCCGTAAGTGGTGACTCCACGTTCTTCCCGCTAGCAGATGCATCAAAAGCCGATTTTGGCTGCCGTCACAAAAAAGTCGCGACAAAGTTTAGAAAACGAGCAATCACAGAATAGACTCAGATGCGGCTCCACTGCCACCTGGTGCCTAACGCATTCATGCGGTATGCTTGCTTGAAAAGGGATGCATTGGGCAGAGTAGAACGACAAGAAGATGATGAATCAGACTCATTGTTTACTTTATGGTACGTCAACAATACGGTACTGTCGCAGCCCGTACCGAAAAAATCATGGCTTCTCGTCAGCAGCAGCCGAAGAAAAGGGATAGAACCAACGAGAACTGCGATAAAGCGGTCAAAAACATCATGTGGCGTTGTGAGCAGATACGACGACGGTACGGGGCCGATGTGTATGTCCAAGTCCGCTTCAAAAGCAGGTTCTATGAATACACGTCTTCCAATGAGCACAATTTCCCTAAATCTCGCGCTGAGTTGGTAAGTTCAATCACATCATAGCCCTTCAAGGCTACCCTTCAAGGCTACCTTTAAGGCTAAGGTTTGGGAGAAAACGATCTACCCGGTTCCTGTGACAAAATCGCCACTGGACTATGCGGAAAGAAGATCTCGATGCGACGTCAAAGGTCAATCTGGCGTGGGTAGCGGTTGAGTGCGACAATGTAGCTGTTCGGCGGAGGATCGTAGTTGCAATGATGCTCATTTTTCTTGTATATCTACTGTATTGCCCGAATTGGTGCGTATACTTGGTGTGTCGCTCTCCTCGTGTCCCCTGATTCTTGCTGTCTTTATGGGAAAGGCAGTGGGCAATATACTTACTGCCCTTCAAATAAACTTGTTGCTTTTTGTTGGTTTCACACCGCTTCGCGGTTGATTAGAAGACATGAATGGAGACCCGTTCGCTCATGCATTGGCCAAGACATACTAGCAATTGATCCGTCCGAGTCTTTCAGCTGAGTCTGTATGAATTATGTGACCATGATGATCTTGAAG